CATACTCGGCAACGTTGTGGGATGCCGAAAAATGTATCCAAAGCACATAGCTTAATCTTTCTCCAGTTGGGGAAATCAAAACCACTCCTGCTCCAGTGCCCGAAAGTCGTTTTGATCCGTCAAAATGCATGGTCCAGTGCTCCATCTTCTCCGCAGGGGTATCCTCCTGGCACTCAGTCCACTCGGCGACAAAATCAGCTAACGCTTGGGACTTGATTGAAATTCGAGGCTTGAATGATATGTCCAAAGACATCAACTCCAAAGCCCACTTAGCAATCCGTCCGTTTGCTTCGCGGTTGTGCAATATATCACCGAGCGGAAATGATGTGACCACCGTTACCGAGTGACCTTGAAAGTAGTGAGATAGCTTCCTGGTAGTAATTAGAATACCATATAACAGCTTCTGAACCTGAGGGTACCTCGTTTTGGAGTCGGCTAGGACTTCGCTAACAAAGTAAATCGGTCGCTGGACTTTCTGGACATGGCCTTCCTCCTCGCGCTCAACGACCAAGACCGTGCTCACAACCTGGGAGGTGGCTGATACATACAGCAACAACGGCTCCTGCGGATGTGGTGAAGCTAAGACTGGTGGCTCGGTGAGGAGTTTCTTGAAATCTTCAAAGGCTTTCTGTGCTTCGGGTCCCCACTGGAAATCATCTGTTTTCTTCAGTAGCTTAAAGAAGGGCATCCCCCGCTCGCCAAGTCTTGAAACAAATCGGCTGAGCGCCGCCATGCATCCAGTCAGCTTCTGAACATCTTTCTGGGTACTTGGCGGTTTCATGTTGAGGATAGCAGTAACTTTCTCCGGGTTGGCTTGGATGCCCCTATGAGACACCATAAAGCCAAGCAGCTTCCCTGACGGTACTCCGAAGGTGCACTTTTCAGGGTTCAATTTCATCCTGAAAGCACGGATGCTCGCAAAGGTTTCTTCTAGATCCGAGATCAAATCATCCTTTTGCTTGGTCTTGACGACTACATCATCCACATAGGCTTCAACGTTGCGGCCGATCTGCGTTGAGAAGCATCTTTGGATCATACGTTGATAAGTTGCTCCTGCGTTTTTTAGTCCGAACGGCATGGTGACGTAGCAGTATGCCCCAAAAGGCGTGATGAATGAAGTCTTCAAGCAGTCGGATTCCTTCAGTCGGATCTGATGATACCCCGAGTAGCAATCCAAAAAACTGAGAAGCTCACAGCCGGCGGTCGAGTCGACTACCTGGTCAATGCGAGGCAACCCAAAAGGATCTTTAGGGCAGTATTTGTTGAGGTCAGTATAATCAACACACATGCGCCATTGCCCTGTTTTCTTCCGAACTAGAACCGGGTTTGCCAGCCAGTCGGGATGAAGGACTTCTTTGATGAAGCCTGCTGCTAACAGCTTGGTTAATTCCTCCTTGATCGCGTCCTTCCTGTCTTGTGCGAATCGGCGGAGTCGTTGTTTGATAGGCTTGGCATCTTCTTTGACATGTAAGGAGTGCTCAATCACCTCTCTAGGAATACCGGGCATATCAGATGGTTTCCACGCAAAGATATCTTTATTGTTCTGAAGAAAGGTGATGAGCGCGCTTTCCTATTTACAATCTAACTCGGCGCCTATTACAGCAGTTTTAGTAGGATCAGAGGGATCTAGGGGAATCGTCTTAGTCTTGGCTTCGCTTTCTCCGCTCTTTGAAATCTTGGTAGCGGGCACTTCTCCTTCGCTCGCCGTGGCTGCAGCCAGTCGGATATCCTCTCGGGCAGACGCCATCTCGCGAGTTTGGGCCATGTCGCAACTCTCCTTGTCGCATGTGACGGCTTGCTTGATGTCGCTCCGTAGGGATAGGACTCCTCGGGGACCAGGCATCTTCATCATCATGTAAGTGTAGTGCGGGACGGCCATGAACTTGGCTAACGCCGGGCGTCCGAGTATGGCATGGTATGCTGTCTCGAAATCGGCGACTTCAAAGCTGATGTTCTCTGTGCGGAAGTTTTCCCGAGTGCCAAAAGTGACTGGGAGGGTGATCTGGCCGAGTGGAGTTGCGGATAATCCTGGAATTACTCCGTGAAAAGGCGCATTGCTTGGTTTTAGCTCGGAGCGAGGAATCTGCATATCATCCAAGGTCTTGGCGAAGAGGATATTGAGTGCACTGCCACCGTCGATGAGGGTTCTGCGAAGCTTGACATTACGGACCACTGGGTCTAGTACCAGGGGGTACCGCCCCGGGTGGACCACTCGGTCAGGATGATCCGAGCGGTCAAACTTGATTGCAATCTCTGACCATCGAAGATACTGGGGCGTGTCGGGCTGAACAGCATTGATCTCCCGTTCAGTCAACTTCTGCTTCCGTTTAGACTCATAAGCCAGGGGGTCGCCGAAGATATGGTTGAGCTCCTTGCGGTGATCTTGAAAACCTGCCGGGGTGTCGCCGTCGTCCTTCTTCCTCGACGTGCTTTGTTCTTCGTCAGAGTTCTTCCGTGCAGTCTTGGTGTATTGATCCGCGAATTGCTTGTAGACGAAACAATCTTTGGCCACGTGGTTGGAGTTAGGATGGTGCGGGCATTGGGAGTTCATGATCTTGTCGAACGTGTTGACGCGCGAACGCTGTCGAGAAGAGTGACTGGCGGTTGCAACAAGTTCCGCAGGCTTACGCTTGCGGTCCTTATGATTGTTACTTCCACCTCCTCCCGTAGCCGGCGTACCCTTGTTTTGCTTCCAACTGGGACCCGACTGCTTTGATGCGGTGACGGCGTCTTCAGCTTTGGCGTACTCGTTGGCTTTTTCAAACATAAGCTTGACTGTCCTAGGGGGCTTACGCCCGAACTTGCCGACCAATTCTTCGTGGCGAATCCCTTTGGTGAATGCGGCGATGATGACGTCATCGGTGATGTCGGAGATCTTGTTACGTTGTTCAGAAAATCGCCGGATGTAATCTCGAAGGGATTCTCCGGACTTCTGAATAACGTTGTAGAGGTCGTATTGTGTGCCGGGACGCTCAAAGGTGCCTTGGAAGTTGGCGATGAAGTGGTCGCGTAATTCAGCCCAGGATCCAATTGTACCACGGGGCAATCCATGGAGCCAAGATCGGGCGGAATCCGCTAAAGCCACTGGTAAATAATTCGCCATGGCCTTGCTGTCTCCTCCTGCTGCGCGGATTGCGAGACCGTAGACGGTAAGCCACGATTCTGGGTTAGTGGTACCGTCATACTTCTCTATTCCAGTCGGTTTGAAGCCGGCTGGCCAATCCACTCGACGCAGGTCGTCGGTGAAGGCTGCTACTCCGTCAAGGTCGTCGTCGTGGCGGTCTGGCGAATGATGATGGCCTCGAGCCGCTCGGCGCTGTATGATTGTGTCGCGAAGATCGACGGGGCGGCGACGAGGTGGTGAGCGAGGCCGTTCCACTCGGCGCTCCCTATGAAGGTCGGGAGGTGAGTGAACAGACCGCTCGTCGTGACCCCTGCTCCTGCGGTTGGATCCTGCGCCGGTGATGCTGAGGCTTGGATGACGGTAGTCATGAGATCGGAAGTGGGGGACTCGGCTGCCAGTCGGCGTGTGGACGCTTTCGGAGTTAACTGGGACTGAAGCCGCAATCATGGTCTTCGTCTGGTTCAAGATGTTGACGACGTGGTCGGATTGATTGAGCTCGTTTTGGTTGAGGAGGGTGTCGAGAAGGGTGATCGCGGCAACCGCATTCTGTTGAGGGGTGCGGAAAACCGGTGTCCCTTCGACATCTTGTTGGCCGATGAGATCACGCGCTCGGCGCCCTGCTTCCAAAGCTCGCTGACGTCGATCCTCAGCCTCCTTCGCGGTCCGCTCACGGTCCTGCTGCTCACACCGTAGCCGTTCTTGTTCTTGTGCTTGATGCTCCTCCTCCAGTTGGCGACGTTCTTCGGTCTCCCGGGCTTGGCGTTGCTCCTCCGTCTCATTATTGGCCATGAAAACGCCAAAGTAGAGAGGGGTGTAGTTGTCATCTAGGCTTCCGTCGAAGTCGTCGAAGTCGTCGAAGTCGTTGTAGCGAGAACTAAATTCGTCGTACTCCACGATGTCAGTAGGACGTGAGTCGACGGTGGGAGAGCTGTTGTAGTCATCCAGCTGATCCGTCGAAACCGTGCCGAGTGGTTGGAGGATGACGCCGACTTCCCTGAAGCTAGGCGAAATCGGTGTTGAAGCCGACTTCCGCCTAGGCCTACGGGATGAAGACGCTGTCGTGGTGGAGACGGCCGCTAAATCGTCGGGGAGCTTCATCAGGACTGGTGGGTAAGCCCCATCATCTTGATCTGGTGTCGTTGGAGAAGATGCGATCTCGGCCGAGTGGTTTGAAGCCGACTCGGTTGAGATGGTCTTGAAGTAGCTTTCAGCCGCGTTCGGGAATCCAAACGGGACCGAAATCCGGTTCTCTCCCGACTGGTCTGATTCCGAGTCGAGGAGAGAAATCTTGCCGAAGTTGTTGGTGACGAAGTCGAGGCTGCCGAACCGAAACGTCTGCCCGGGCGGGAAGACGAGGTCGTCGATGCCGGAGACGAAACCCATTGCACTGATCGGCGAAAAGCTTGACGCTACCCCTACCTGGCGCGCCAACTGTCGAAACTAGATTTCGGCAATAATAAAAGGGGGTGGCTATCAAGCTAGAAAAGTATATGGGTTTGGAGACAAAAGATTTATACAGGTTCAGGCCTTCTTATTCAAGAAGTAATACCCTACTCCTGTCCGGGGATGAATCCGCCGAGTGTATTATTGATTGTATGATTTAGAGAAAATCAACATCTGCCCCTAGAGGCACCCGGACCCCCCTTATATACGGGGAGGAGTCCGTGTTACAAAAGATATCTATATCCCTAACGGAATATGTAGATACAGATTAAATACAGCCGTAACCGACTAAGTCTCAAGGTGTTTCCTTGATGTACAAGTTAAGAAACAAACCCGAAATACAAATAAGATATTCTATCTATATTCGGTATCCTATATTCAGTCCAAATATCATCGCCGTGTAGATATGGGATATCCATAATCTCCACACCAGGGGACTCCCTCATCACCAAAGAGCTGATTGAAGAGCAGATTAATGGGGTCATGACAGCAGAGGAGGTGAATTAAAAGGCACATAAAAAAAGAGAATATATATATATATATACACACATATATATATTTAACTTGCTTTTAAAAGATAGAGAATACACTGTACAGGCCGTGGAGAAGAAGAAGCTGTTCATGCTGGACTACCACGACGTGCTCCTGCCGTTCGTGCACGCGGTGCGCGAGCTGGACGACACCACGCTGTACGCCTCGCGGACGCTCTTCTTCCTGACGGAGGACGGCACGCTGAGGCCGATCGCCATCGAGCTGACGAGGCCCAAGTCCCCCAACACGCCGCAGTGGCGCCAGGTCTTCACGCCGGGCTCCAGCGTCGCGGCGTCCTGGCTGTGGCAGCTCGCCAAAACGCACGTCCTCGCCCACGACACCGGCTACCACCAGCTCGTCAGCCACTGGTAATTTACGAGAAATTTTACCGTCCTTGAGAGATACTAAGACGTATAAAAAATAAACTGCACGTTTTCCGTATCTTCTAGTACCAATGGTAACGGGAGATACCATATTTTACTTTAAAAACAAACTGTATACCTCCTTAAATACTGTAAAATCACTCTTAGTAGTTGACTATTAATTTCATCATCTGTTGATTGCACTTGCATTGCTGCGAATCATGTTTGGGTGTTACAGGCTGAGGACGCACTGCTGCGTGGAGCCGTACGTGATCGCGGCGAACCGGCGGCTGAGCCAGATGCACCCCATCTACCGGCTGCTGCACCCGCACTTCCGCTTCACCATGGAGATCAACGCCCAAGCGCGCGGGATGCTCATCAACGCCAATGGAATCATCGAGAGCGCCTTCGCGCCGGGGAAGCTCTGCATGGAGCTCAGCTCGGCGGTTTACGACAAGTTTTGGAGGTTCGACATGGAGGCTCTGCCCGCCGATCTCATCCGGAGGTAATATGTGTGTTAATCACGTACACCCGTTTCGTGCATGTTACAAATAGAATAGATTTGGTAAGATGTAAATATGTAATATATCGCTCTGTAAATATGTGTGTTCAAATTAAATGTACCTATACACAAGTAGTAACAAATATGGCTGTCAAAATTGCGTTCGATATTTGTTACTTTGTTAGCTACTTATATAAATTGATTTTAAAATTACATGTCTATAAGGTGATATATATATTATATGCACGAAACTATTGTATATCCACTCGAGTGACAAAAAATGTTTTTTCTTATATGATATATAATTTGTTTCAAATTCAGGGGAATGGCATTCCATGGGGAGGATGGCAAGCTGAAGCTAACGATAGAGGACTACCCGTATGCCAACGACGGCCTGCTCGTCTGGGACTCTATCAAGGAGTGGGTGTCAGACCATGTGAACCATTACTACCCGTCAGCGTCGGACATTTACTCTGATGAGGAGCTCCATGGTTGGTGGAACGAGGTGCAAACGAATGGCCACCCGGACAAGAAGGACGGATGGCCAGAGCTGGACTGCCATGGGAGCCTCATCAAGGTCCTGACCACCATTATTTGGGTCGCATCGGGGCACCACGCAGCGGTGAACTTCGGCCAGTACCCCTACGCCGGCTACTTCCCCAACCGTCCCACCATCGCGCGGCGAAACATGCCGACGGAGGAGGAGCACGGGTGCGAGGGCATGCAACCGACATTCGTTGAGGATCCTGTCAGGGTTTTGCTGGACACGTTCCCGTCGCAGTACCAGACTACCCTCATCTTGCCAGCGCTCAACCTGTTGTCGTCGCACTCGCCAAGCGAGGAGTACATGGGCACGCACACGGAGGCGGCGTGGATGGCAAACAGGGAGGTGAGGGCGGCGTTCGGGAGGTTCAACGAGAGGATGATGAGGATCGCGGAGACGATCGACCGCCGGAACAGGGATCCGGAGCGGAGGAACCGGTGGGGCCCTGGTGTGGTGCCATATGTGCTGCTAAAGCCGTGCTATGGTGACCCCAAGGACATGTCGTCGGTGATGGAGATGGGCATCCCCAACAGCATCTCCATTTGAGCTACATGTATGTGCCTATGAGCCATGCATGTACGTGTAGGGGTGGTAATAGTCAAGGCGCATGGGTTGTTTTACAATTCTACCTAGTTCTTAAAAATATTTTTTTAGTTCAAAATGAATAAAAGTTCAACCCACCCGGCCTATTTACACCCAGCTCTTAAATTTTATAGTCTAAAAAGTTGGGTCCTTTACCATCCCTACGTATGTATCTGGTGTGCTCTCATACTACAATCATGAAATGAAATAACCCGGCATCAACCTGTTGCTAGCTCTTTCCTGTAAATACATCAATTCCGGCTTTTATGTTGTGTGCAATCACCAAATTATACGTTGATCCCTTCATCCTAAAATATGACAACATCGCGATTAAAATTTGTCCAAGAATATAACCTCTCTAGTACCTACTCCCTCATCTCATCAATCAAAACAATCTCTCATTTAATTTCTTTCACATACTTTCTCATCTCAAGCTATCACAATCATTCCTCATTCAATTCCATCTTATTTCCTAATTAATCCCCATGAAAAACTTGAAAAATCATTATATTTTGGAATGGAACGGAAGGATCGGTAGATAATTATAGGGTAATGCTACGTGACAGTATCCTTTCGGACAGGGTGATACCTTATATGTATCGCCTAATACCTAGTAGGTATACCTCGAAGGTATCATCTCATCTGAATGGGGTATCAGCCGATACTTAACAGGTATTAGACGATACCTCTGAGGTATCATCCCGTCCGAACGGCATAGCATTTCCCTAATTATATACGTCAAAGAAAAGAGTAAAATATTTTTTTCCTTTTATGTCTTTTTTTTTATCATGGTGCATTTTTTATTATTCGACTATGAATGCAGTTAGTCCTGTTAAAACCAAGTTCAGTCCCAAAAAGGCCGACCAGGGCCTGGCATGACATATACACCAGGATCGGGCCTCTATTTCGTGACCTGAAAATGGCCGAGGAAAACGACCGAGTAAAGCTAGGCCCGGCCCAAAAAGTTCCAGGTTCAAAACAAGGCTTGGGCCCTTTTTTGGCAAAATCACATAAATTTTTGTAACCATGCAATTTGCTATGTGATTCATTCTCGTCTTTATCTCTGGCAAACTCCATGGGCCTCCGAGTGGTTAGGTTTCAAGGTTAGACAAGGGGGCATCGGTGTGGGGAAGGTAGAAAGTATTCCCCAGCTTAAAAGGGATGGCTATAGCAGCGGTGGGATCCGAATCAGATGCAGTAGTAGTATGGACTGCAACTTAAGCAGTTGTAACAGCTACATTGGATCTAAATCTAACGGTAAGGATTAGATTGGTTACTGTAGCAAAGTACTATGCCATAAAGTACTATTCATGGGTACTGTAGGACGAACACTGTAGCAACCATTGATCCCAAAAATGAATGGCTGAAAATGCATGCGGTCGTAAGGTGCAGCCGCAGTTATGACTGCACCTAATCTCAATCCGTTGCCATGACCACTAGCCCACCTCCGCGGATTGAGATCAGGTGCAGTCGTAACTACAACTGCACCTTACGACCGTGGCAACAAGCGGTGATGGCACCACCTTAGCCATGAGAGAGGAGAGCGGTAGGTCAGTGTTGACGGTGGAAAGGCTCCTTATTGAAGTGGTTAGAGGCCGTGAATCCTAGAGGTGGGAGTTACCGAAAACTAAGCAGTATGAGTAATCGAAGCAATATAGTAGAAGAAAGTTTTTTTTTAGAAAATATATACTTGGAGAAGTATTTTGAAAATATGAGCATGAGCTTTCATCATGTGTTTCAAGGGGACAAGAATGGGTTAATTTGATCAGTACCACTGCAACTTTACAGATTTAGAAAAATATCATTACTATTATTCACGGTATCAGCTGGGTGCCATTGAAATTTTGCCAAATTAGAACTGCGCCATCGCCGTCACGTTTTCCATCACTTCCATCTTCTTTCTTCTTCTACCCGTCAAGGGGTCGGCTACAAGGAGGCTGGCCGGTGACCTCCAGCAAAGCAAACAAGGCTAGCGACATCAAAGCCCAGGAAATAGGAGAGGTCGACGACAGAGAGGGACGACATGGTGAGGGCAGCATCGGGATGGCGGAGCAGCAAGCCATGAGGGCCGCAGCCAGCGCCTGTGAAGGACATGGAGGCGGAGCAGCAAGCGACGCCGGCGGCGGCCACCATCACCTCCCCGTCCGCTTCTCCCTCCACAGATGAGGAGGTGGAGATGGTGGCAACACCTGGATTTGGCCTCCCCAAAGCTCGCACGAGGAGGAGTTGAAGATGGTGGCGGCGCTAGCCAGGGAGCACGCGCGCCTAGATCCAGCCTCCTCGTAACTCACGCGAGGAGGTGATTAGGTGAAGTGGCGGCAGGAGCATGCTGGGGTGGTAGGGGCAGCAGCAAGCGTGGTGGCATTTCACCGAGGAGCAGTAAGCACGGCCGACCAACGGGGAGGAGAATAAGACAAGGAAGGAAGAGAGGAGAAGAAAAGAAGATAAAAAACGTGACAGCGATGGTACAGTTTTAATTTTGTAAAATTTCAATGGCACCCAGCTAATATCGTGAATAGTACTGATATTTTTCTAAATCGGCATATTTGCAACTGGCAATGGCATGGATCAAATTAACCTAAAAAGAAAAGGTATACTTGGAAAAAGAACCAATATCCATGTCTCAGAGCCAGGGTTTCCCAAACCGCCGGGGCCGGGGTTACCACGCCCCGGCGGTAAGCACGGTTACCGCGCGGTAACCGCGACAAAACCGTGCAAAATTTATCAAAAATTCAAATTATTTTTTAAATTTATTTGAATTTAAGGAGGTTACCGCGGTATTTATATTACCGTACCCCCGCGGTAAGCCCGGTAACCACGGTAACCGCGCGGTTACCGGCGGTAAGTCGAACTCTGCTCGGAGCTCCCCACCACCGCCAATTTTGCTCCAATTTCAGGATGATTCCTCTGACGAGGATATATCAAATCAATGCTTTTAAAAAGATGTTTCTATATCTTTAAAAGTCACACTTTTTAATTAACTGAAGAAAAATCTAGCACAAATCCCAGTCTTTCGCTGCTTCCACCACATATGTACCGGAAGAACCATGAACCACCATGACCAGATTGCTAGCTATAGCTCTAGCTCCCTCCTAAAATCATCTCTGTGGTAAGGTGAAACAGGAGTATGAACTATGAAGACTACCTCAACATTTTTCCAGCAAAAACTAACAACACCCTACTTGATGTACTGTGACACCCACTTGAACCCATCCCCATAGCCCATCTTGCGGACGATGCTGCACATGAACACCTCCAGGGGGCGAACGTTGGACTCGCCGAGGCTCACCCTGCCCTTGCCGGTGGTGAAGTTGCTCAGCCCCATGTGGTAGCGGAGCTCCTCCTCCGACGCGGCGTAGGGGATGTCGATCTTGTTGCCCAGGATCAGGAAGGGGACGGTGGCCAGGGAGTCGTCCGAGAGGAGGGCGTCGAGCTCCTTCTTCGACTCGGAGAACCTCTCCTTGTCGTAGGCATCCACGAGGTAGACCACCGCGTCGACCTGATCATAGGAAGGTTGGAAGATGAATTAGAAGGATGTAGAAGGCAGGATAGTTACTGGTGCACCAGCATACATGATCGCGATACATCAAGTAGTAATAACAAAGGCATAAGCAAAGAAATAGATCAACTAGAAAACATTTGAAGATCCCCGCAGGAAAAAAAAAACTAGAAAACATTTGAAGATATCTCCAAGTCTCCAACCAATTTCATTTTCTATGAGACTTATAGAACTGAATTGAAGTCTATATGAACCAAGCGAAGTACCAAACCTACCAATTCTTGTTACTATAGCAGAACTATTATACTCCATGTATGACAACAAAGGTAATACTACTTACTATATCTGAAATTCACGAATCTGGATAGGGACATAATTGGTACTCCCTCCGTCCCATAAAAAACCAATTTTTGGCTACGAATCTGGACGTAGCCAGAAGTTGATCTTTTATGGGATGGAGGGAGTAAGTAGTAAGTACTTTCACTTAACAGCTGTTTCAAACCAACAGTAACATCTTATGCCCTGTTCAGATAAAAAACATACGTAGTATTTCTTACTCAATGTATTCCTAACTGTGACCTTCATAACAAAGTTTTCTACCATGAGTATGACCGTTGAGCTGATATGATGTGTATGAAATTATTTGAAGTTTTTAATATGAACACTCTGTAACTCTCCATCTTGGAACCTAATTATTCCTTCAGAGTTCAGCCCCTTTGCTAGCACAAGTGAAAAAAAAAAGAAAAAAAAAAACTAAACTTTACCCTCTTACACCAAACTCGTAAGTCCTAACACTTCCTGGCCTAGGAACATTAATCCCTGAGACTAAATATTTTCACCAAAATGATCCTACTGCAACATTCTAGTACAAATGCCTTCTACATCATAGTCTCTTGATACAGCATATTATTCTAACCTTCTATCATATATGAATGAGGAATATCGACCACTTGACCCCCTAAGCCAAAGCCACTATCTCATAGAACAGTAGTACAGCATCATGCTGTTTGGGGATAAAAAGAATATATGATGGATGGAGTAAAATGCTAGCCACAAGCCGATGTACCAGAAAACAGAAGAACGCTAGCATGCAAAACATGATGGTGGACAGACAACTACCAAAGCATATGTTTGCCATTCTACATCAGTCGCTAAATTACCAAATTACACATACATCACTTGTGTTATATTATGAATCTTCATAGCTACAATTACCAAATTGCACATACATCACTTGTGTTATATTATGAATCTTCATAGCTACACCGAGGTGGACAGCATATGGGAGTAGGCTACTTGCATTTTTATGCGCTATAACCCCACTAACTCAGTTGATGAAAATTCAGCAATAAGCATCAGGTGTGACATGTCAAAGGAAAAGGTAGACGCACATACTCTAGTGTTTCACTGCCAAATACTATCCACTGATAATGATATCTACTACACCTTTTCGTCCTAGCAAAAGCACACACTAATTTCCATATTTCATAAATTGCTATACGAGTACTAGATAATGACATATATCTCCAGAAATCAAACCCACATGAGATGAAACATTAAGCAAGTAGATCATAAGTTGACTTACTCATTTGCAGAAATAAAAATATAAAATTAAAAAGGAAGCTGAGACCTTAGCATAGTAGTCTTTCCACACACGGCGAGCAATTTGATGGCCTCCTAAATCAAACGCCTTGAACTTGATCTTCCCAATGCTCAGCTCTTCAGAAGTCGGATACTGCGTAGGTTGATGCTGCACCAATCTCTGCCAGAAGGAACACAAATCCCAATTACCAACTTATTCAGTAAACAGAAGCAAATAATCATAATAATTTTCATATGATTTCCTTGCATCGCTTCAATATATTCAGTTTCCCGATAGGATCACTTGGTTATAAAAAAAAACGTTTCAAATTTTGATATGGATATCTGTTCAAAATTACTAAGGTTACAATCAATTTAAAATTCTCCAGACTGGCATCTACACCAGATTCTAAACTGCAAGCCTCAGGCTTCGCAGCATGGAATCCTGTTGTGCACACATAACTGAAAGAGGCAAAGTTTATGCGGTAGCTATATGGAACTTGACCAGATCTTGCAAGAAATCTAGTGCGGCTCAGCTACCAAAATAAAGCCTGGAAGGTTTCTATATCCGCACCAATGGAAACCAAACTATCTGGAAAGTTAGATCACTAACTCCAAAATATAGGTTAAATGGAGGTACAAACTAAGCCTCCATCTAATAATCTCTCTTTTTTTCATAGCATAGTATAGAATCCCAAGAGGGGATTATTATTATTATTATTATTATTATTATTATTATTATTATTATTATTATTATTATTATTATTATTATTATTATTATTATTATTATTATTATTATTATTATTATTATTATTATTATTATTATTATTATTATTATTATTATTATTATTATTATTATTATTATTATTATTATTATTATTATTATTATTATTATTATTATTATTATTATTATTATTATTATTATTATTATTATTATTATTATTATTATTATTATTATTATTATTATTATTATTATTATTATTATTATTATTATTATTATTATTATTATTATTATTATTATTATTATTATTATTATTTAGATGATACATGGAAAATTCACAATTCTTGAACCTCGAAATGAAGAATTGCCAGCATAAAGACTTCCAATTATGATGGCAATCCAAAAACGCACTGCAATTGGAATTGTTCGATTTCCTAAAAAAATACATGGATGTATCCCCCATCCCGATCCACAAACTCGTCGCAATTCCTATCCACCAAAATCCATTTCGAATCAGAAACATCCATCAAAATTCTCATACATCAGCAAACCTATCGATCCCAAAAAAACCCAACTTATTTTTTTTCCGCATAAAAGAGTGAAACCCAAAAAAAAAAAAAATCCCGACCCAACTCAGTATAATCAATCCTTCTCTCAAACAAAAAAAAAACACTCAGCATAATCCAACCCAATCGAAACCGCATCAGATCACCTAACAACCAACAGATGAATCGACTGCTCAATTAAAACAAAAGGAAAGAAACTTCGTGGCGAACCTCGTCCTTGAGCATGTGGAGGAGCGTGGTCTTGCCGGCGTTGTCGAGGCCGAGGAAGAGGATCTTGGCCTCCTTCTGCCACAGCCCCAGCGACGCCAGCACCCCGTAGAACCAGTCCACCAGGAACATCTCCGCCCGCCGCCGCCGCCGGTGGCCTCTCTGTCGCCGGAGGAGAGGAAGAAGAAGGGTCTTAGCGGATCTTGATGCGGACCCGTTAACGAGCGAATGGGGTGTGGCGTGGTGACGTGGCGGGCGATCTCTCTCCGCCTCCGCGCCCGCGGGTTGAAATACGGTGGAGGCCAGAGGATGACACGTGGGCCCGGGTTTGGGTGTGGGGCCAGGTTGTCAGACGTGGGTAGGTGGGAGACTGGGAGTTGGGTTGTTTTGGAGCAATACCGCGGGTTGGAACGTTCACATTAGAAGCTTGATGATGATGATTCAGATCTGTGTAAATGTTTTACTACTATGATGTAAAATGGTGTGAATTGCTAAAATTGTGTTCCATTTTGGACGACTTTTGTACGGTTCGTTTTGTTTTGAGAATTTTTTTTCACGGTTCGTTTACGGGTTTAAAGTGCGTGTATTTAGTATTAACTTCGTTAACTCTAGATATATGTGGATAAGTATGAAATAGAAGTTGTTTTCTGCCTGTTCAGCTACATTAGCGAGTTACTCCCTCCGTCCCATAAAAAATGATCTAGCATTGGATGTGACATATTTTGGTACTATAAATCTGGATATATGGATGTCCAGATTAGTATATTAGGATGTGTTATATTCGGTATTAGATTGGTTTTTTATGGGACGGATGGAGTATATTTTAATAACTTTAATGTAATGAAAATGCATATCACCCGATACAATTAAACATAAATTTGTCAAAAAAATTAAACATAAACACTTCGGTAACCAAAATTCCATATTAATTTTAACACTTGGTTGGGTGAATTCATCACTATTGTTTTCTTCCCAGCTTCTACGAAGAAGCATTCGATTTTCCTAGCCACGCAGGACCGTCGTCAAAAAGCATGCTCTGAATAATTTTCGCTACGCTGACTAAACAGAATCAGCTACAGTGTCTGGATGTAGACCAACAGCACCATGTTTGACTGATAGGAGGAAAAAACGAAACTACGTATTCGCAAATGAAAATTAATTTATGAGTAAGACTTTTATATACATATTTTCAACAATATAAAAGTAAAATCTGAAAAATAAACTATGATAAAAAAATTTCAAAATCAACTTTAAATTTAAGATTAAAAATTTAAATTTTAGCTTATAAGTTTAAGCACAAGAGAAAATATGAGGCCGCAATTTGATCAGTGTTGGGATCAAATGTAAACCACGAGGAAACTGACACGTGATACGCTGTCAACCTTCCATTAGCAACTCGGAAAGTTTGAAAATCAAAGCTCTCTCAAGTACAGTATGAGAACAGCCCTAGCTTGCCTTCGTACGGAGGAAGAAGAGAGTACTCTCTCTGTTTTTCTTTAATATATGATTTCATTGTTTTTTAAGATAGTTTGACTATTTATTTTATTCAAAATTTGTGTAATTATTATTTATTTTATTGTGATTTTGATTTGTTGTTATAGATGTTTTAAACATGACTTATATGATTTATATTTTATATATTTAATTTTTTTAAAAAAATAAATAATTATGTTAAAAAAAGTTAACGATGTCTTGTATTAAAAAGGTGTGCTTGGCTACTACCTGTACGGCATAGGCTCCTAAATTTTATTTTCCAAAAACGTCATATCGAATCTTTAAACACATGTGTGGAGCATTAAATATAAATAAAAAATCTAATTGCACAGTTTGCATGAAAATCACGAGATGAATCTTTTGAGCCTGATTAGTCCATGATTAGCCATTAAGTGCTACAGTAACCTGCATTGCTAATGATGAATTATTTAGACTTAATAAATTCGTCTTGCGGTTTCCAGGCGAGTTATGAAATTAGTTTTTTTATTCGTGTCCGAAAACCCCTTCGACATCCGGTCAAACGTCCGATGTGACACCCCAAAATTTTAACCCATAGCATACTTTTCTTCCAAGCCTTCTAGGCTCTTCCATTTCGTCAGCCTGCCTGTCTCTCTTGGACAGCCTGGAAATCGCAGAAGCTTCTCTTTTCACTTGCTGGAGATTGGTTGCAAAGTTGCTTGTTTATTATTTGGATTTTGACAAGGAAAATGTTAGGCATTCCTTTGGAACGCAGAAACCTTATTGACCTTGATTTTCCTTCAAAATGTCTACGACCAAAACGAGGCCTGATCAAGTGGAATTCATGCCTCATCTCAGTTCTCGGTATAACTTCATAGTTACAAGATGTTTGTGTATGTGGTTGTGGGGTTCAATGCAAAAGTTTATGTGGTTATGCAGTAATTCAGGCTTGTAAATATCAGAATTTTTTTTCTAAAAAGAAAACAAATCATATGTGATTCAAGACTACAAACAAGTAAACAATAACCTGACCATTTGACAAAGTCGCCAAACAGCAATCTATGTAAGACCGATCTGACAAGATATCTGAAAATGTGACGGAGGAGGATCGATGCAACGCGTTGAAAGATCTTTATTTTGTTCAGAGATCTTCTATTTGTTGAAAGATCAACACGTTGGATGGTTGGAATGTCTTGCACCAAAGATTGTACAGGTTTAAAACACATCAGCAAAAACTATTGGCATTCAGTACTGTAGCAGGGAATGGGCTGAATAGTATCTCTGTTTCAGGTCAAATATATAGTTATTTACCAATCTTTGAAATACACACACACACACACTTGTACATAAGGTCTACTTTGAAGATAGTTTACATGGTAAGATTTTCATACTTATACTCAAGTACTCGTAACACGCCAAAAGCCAAAGCTGAATGAAAAGAATATGATGAAAAACTCGTAAATTAAGTTCAAATTTCAAAATTCGCCATGATTTATAAGTCGAAGCTAAAACAAGCAGCCTCGTAGAGACTCAAACTAAACGAATTTATTTGATAAGATTTGAGAAATAAGGTTGGTCAAACAAATCTCTCTCTCTCTCTCTCTCTCTCTCTCTCTCTCATGTCCCCACAGGCAGGCAGACAGCATCAAAGAGCAGCAGAAGCAAACAAGCCAATGAAGCCACCACAGCTTGGCAACTTGCATCAGAAAAGAATTATATTCATTTATTCTCCCTTCTCGGCTTTTCTCCAGGATGTGTTTTTCAATGTCCATGCTATTGGTGGCTAGCTACTCCTTGACCTTCTCACTAGTATAGCCATTAGTAAAACATCCCTTCTTCTTCTTCTTCACTAGCTTCTCACTCACTCACCTCCTCCATATTCCCCTTTCTTGCAAAGGAGAAAGGAACAAGAATAGGATTCAGCTCAGGTCAGCTCCATCACTGCAGAGAATATAAAGATCTGAAAGAGGCAAGCAGACAAGGTCAGGTCAGGTCAGGTCAGAGGAGAAGCTAGCAGCCATGAGTACCATGAAATTTTGCCGCGAATGGTGAGCTGATTCGTGATGCGTGTGCATATTTGATTGATAGTTTGTTTCCTTGTTTGGGTGAAGAGGTTTTGGTGATTGATTTGGTCTTGTTTTTGTTGGCAGCAACAACATACTGTATCCCAAGGAGGATAGGGACCAGAAGATTCTGCTCTATGCCTGCAGGAACTGTGACCACCAGGTTCTTTCTTGTTCATCTCCTCTCTCTCTTCCCAGCAAGATTTCTCTAGTTAGATCTCTACAACAATATTAGAAGATGAGAAATACCATAGATAAGCTAGAAGAGCTAAAGAGTGTGAGCAATTCAATCTGAAGCTTTAGGAGTAGAGTGCTATTTTTGTACTGAAAGACAATTGGACTGAAGCTTTGAGATTGATTTGGATGAAGATAAGCTATATTTGGAAGTAGAGATGAGGTTCATTTAATGAAAAAGATTATGAAAAGAATCTTGCTTTACACCCATTTTGTTAGGTGATTATTGTAGAACAAAATTTTGTCTTTGTTCTAATGCCATGGCAAAATGCAATGCTGAAAAATTCTCACAGGAGGTTGCAGACAACAACTGCGTCTACCGGAATGTGGTGCACCACAGCGCCGGAGAGTTCACCCAAGTGCTCCAGGATGTCGCCGGCGATCCGACTCTCCCTCGCACCAAGGCGGTCCGGTGCGCGGTCTGTGGCCACGGCGAGGCCGTGTTCTTCCAGGTCAGTTGAAGTTGCAAACAATCGCAGTTAAATATAATTCAGAAGTCAAGTGTGAAATTATGAACAAAACCTGATCATGGCTTCATATTGTTCTGCAGGCCACTGCCAGAGGGGAGGAAGGGATGACCCTGTTCTTCGTCTGCTGCAACCCGAGCTGCGGTCACAGATGGAGAGAATGAGATCAATTTGTAGTCAACCAAGTGAAGAAAGTCATTGATGCAAATGATCAGAGAGACATATGATTTTGATTTCATCCAAGAGACATTCCATAGAAGCATAGACTGATTGTATGTTTAAATTTTTAAAAACACATTCAGGCATCGGTATTTTGTGTAACTTCTGAAGGAAAAGGATCAAGACTACTAGGATAAAACATTCTGTGGTCTATTCCTTCCTTATAAACAAAGGATGGGATGAGGACAGTTTTCTTGGTGATTCAATTCTGCAGTAATTTCCGTAGACAATCTTGACAGGAACCATGTTCTGAATTTTCATCAGCTCAAGCAAACGATGAGCAACATTTTTTTTTTTTTTTGAAAACTTGGATATCATATGGCCATTAAAACTGGCTGCATATTTCGTTGTAAGCAATAACTGCTACTGGATGAAAATTATGCAGATCGTCAACCACAATAGTCTTGCTCAGGTGCAGAACTGCATTTAAGCAGCCAAAGTAAATGAAACATTCAATTTTAAGAATACTGAAGAGCACCTTTAGATCTGGGATCCTGAAATTACGGATGTTTGAACATCTCTTGAAGACATTTGTGTATATAATGTTCAATGGTAGAGTAGTACACAATGCATGCTTGGCTATATTTTCAACATCGGAACGATGCTATTACAACAATCTGAATCTCCTATGCTACAAAAGGCATTTCATGGTTACAGTTTCAGCACTCTAAACTCTCAACCCAAAATTGTGTTACAACAATCATATAACTAGGTTGTGTTTAGTTCAGCGCAAAGTTTGAATTTTGGTTGAAATTGAAGATGATGTGACTGAAAAGTTGTGTGTGTATGACATGTTGATGTAATAGAAAAGGACTGAAGTTTGGATCCAAACTTTGGATCTAAACACAGCCCTAGTTGAAGACTGGTAGTTTTTTTTTTCTTTCACAAAGTACTGATATCCACGAACAACGACCAAGAAGGCACTGTTTTGCTGGAGGAGATTGTTATATGACAACTGGGCACTGACCAATACTTCTCCCCGAAGATAGCTCCAAGAGTTGCTTTCGACAGTTTAGGGATGTGCTCTTGGTTAAAAAATAAAAAATCAGCATCAATTGGGAGGCAATGCATCCACAAGTTCATAATAACGTTGAAAGAACTTATGCCATCGTCGAAATAAATTCATTCGCCCATGAAGGGAGAGGTGACCGGAAGGTGACTGGCAATCCAGTGACTGGGTGTACAAATGACAAGCTCTCAGCATGCAATGCATGGCCATCATAATCCACACCATTCCACTCAATAACTCCGCTGTACTTCACATCACCTCTGATAGGGAACCCAAGATACTGACAGTGCAGACGAATCTGATGTGTTCGTCCACTCTGAGGATAGGCTCTAACCAAAATTATGCTGTTCTTCTCATCACCATCTGAAGTCAGGTCAGCTGCCTTCTCTTGTACGGTAATAGACTCTGTTTCATCAACTTCAAAATTAGATGGTTCTCTAAACTGTCCCTTGCCATTGATTCCCAGAACTTCAAATCGTGTACTCATGTCGCGTACAACGGAACCCCCTGGTAGTGATCGTCCAACATCAGACATAGCGTACACACGCCAAGCACCATGTTTTGATCGACCATGGCCAGAGCATATCTTAATCTTCTCCCATGCTGGTGGGTAACCTATGCAAAGAGCTAGATATGTTTTCTTAACTTTGTGCTCTGTAAACGCCTTCACTAGCTTCCCAGCAACCTTATTGCATTTGGTAATAACCATGAGCCCACTGGTATCACGGTCTAGCCTGTTGGCGAGGTGAAGGTTAGGTTTAGTTGCTTCATCCCCTGTAAATCATAAAAGATTTACCTTTAGTTACAAATAGCAAAGCGTAATACTAGGAACTCAAAAGAAATACTTGAGCCAGGACATTAAAGTAGGAATTGAAACAAATGCTTGAGCTAAGGCACTAAATTGTGAAGATCAAGATGAAAAAAAAGGGTACATCAATGTATTATCTCTGCTGTTAAAGTGCCCTAGCCTGTGGATACAGTGATGGTCAAAATTCAAAAGCTACCAGACAGAAAAAAAAAGAATGCTACCAGAAAGAATTATGCTGACTGGTGGGAATTCATTGGATAATTTCGCCAAATTGTGGAGTTCAGATGCCCAAAATGCCATGCAGTGTGATTTCAATTTCAGGCAATAATACTAGAATACACAACTGAGAACAAATTCCCTTGTGAGAACAAGTTGATACAGCACCACAGTATGACCCCGTTTATTACGATCTATACTGAGAAGAGAAATGGTCAGCTTGATTTCTATGACCAACACTTTCTGTTCCCTCCCTCTACACATGTATACAGAGCTCATATTTAGCCTCCTATATTCCAAAATACAACGATTTGGGACAACAACTACTCGACGAGAATCAACAACGGCACTCACAGAAAACCAATTCAAGGTGATGCCAGCAATATCCAATGTGTATAATGAACCAAACACTAACAATCACTAGACGATTGCGAGCAATAATAGTATAATGTTACAACTTTGGAGGTAAAACTTGCATACTCCATCAAACAACTAATTGTACATCGCCATCCTCCAAAGTCCAGACTAACTCCAGCCTCCAGGATTTTCTCTCACAGTTGAAACAAGAGTATATGTTTATGCGTTTCCTCTAGATGAATTTGAGCAACAACCTTTCGGCGTCGCTAATTGCTATCATTAAATACCTCTCAAGTCTCAACGTAACACTAGGAGATACTAATAACACAGTAATCACGAATCATTAATCAATTATTATCATAAACAAGTAATGAAATCACTAGCCACGAATTCATCAGCACCTCATTTGCATAATCTCGCAGAGCTCAACGAAGTATATAAGACATTTTGGATTACCTAATGTGGCAGCGGAGCAAGGGAGAGCGGAGAGGAGGGCGTCGCAGTAGACTCCCGCGGGCTTGTCGACGACGGCGAGCCACTCGTCCTCGAACACGACGGGCGCGGAGGAGTAGGCGGCGGAGCGCGCCGAGGCCGTCATGGCGCGCCGGAGCTCCACGTCCTTGGACGCCGCCGGGTAGGGAGGGGAGACCGGGACCGGGTACTCCCCGGTTGCCGCCGACATCGCGAGCGATAGGTCTCCTCCTGCAGCGGCGGCGACGAGGCGGCGCGCCGGTGGCAGCGGCGGCGGCGGCGGCGTGGTCAGTGCGGCGGCGAAGCGGGGCGAGTGGAGGAGGAGGGGTAGTCTCGTCATTTGCCACTCCCAAGGAAGAAAATAAAGTCGAGTTTAGCCCCTAAACTATATGCGATTTTCTTGTTGGGTTTAAACTTTTTTTAATAAGGGGGTTTACAAGACTAAATATCGTAAAACTACATATTTACTAATAATAAAATTATCACAAAACTTCAAATTTTAGGATTTAAATTCTTAGCACTAATATTATATTTGAGTTACATATATTCAAGTTTTTTGGATTAAATTGATAATTAATCTATAGTTTTCTAATAGTTTTGTTATAAAATCTGTAGTTTTGCGATATTTCATATTAAAATTGTAGTTCTATAGTAAATTTAGTATTGAATCTATAGTTGTTAAATATGTGGGGCCTGTTCACTTTGATGCAATTTTCAACCATATCAATTTTTTTAGTAAAATTAAAAAAATGTATATGTTTAGTTTGTTGCTAAATTTAGTCAATACATAAGAAATTCTGTCAAAATTTTGGCAATTGCTAAAACTTGATAAGGTTTATTTTAGCTATAATCTAAACAAACCCGTGATTTTGCGATAATTTGATAAAAATATCTATAATTCTGTGAGATTTACTTTTTTTCCTTTCTCAAAACGTCCTAGCGGGTGTATAACTGTATATCCTGTTCTACCCTTCTCCCCCAACCGAAACCGGAAAGAAACCCTAGACCTCCGTCTCCGGCGACCCTCCCCTCACCTCCTCGCCGCGGCTCCCCCCGCCTGACCTCCGCGCGCCCCCCGTCGACTCCCCCCCGCGAATCCGGATCCCGCGCGCGCGAGGAAGGAGGGGGGGAGGAGGAGCGGGAGATGGGGTCGTCGTCGAAGGTGGTGCGGCCGGAGGAGGTGCTGGATTCGCTCGCCAACGACGGCACCATCGACGCGCTCCGCATGAAGATCATCGCCCAGCTCAAGGCCAACGTGCGTTGCAGCAGCCGATTTCCCCTCTCCAATCGATTCCTCCTCCTCCTTTTCCTCGCCCTGCTTGCTTGCTTCCCTGTTCTTGTTTATAGAAGATCGCTTCTTCTTGTGTGATATTTAGCATTGCGGTAGCTGGAACTACACTTTCTTGTTGAGTGAGAGCGGTCGGCGCTAGCTAGGAGAGGTGGTGTAACTGTAAGCAACTCCGGTGCTTTGCGGAAGCATTAGGATTCATGCTTTTGCTGTCCTGATTGGCTTGACTGAATTAGATTAGTGGGGTTTTGAAGTGTGGCTGAATTACTCCTTGTTAAGTTTGTGTTTGGTTGGTTTGGTATTTCTGTTCAGTTTGTATGAGTTTAGTTTGTTCTTTTTTTCCCTCCTCTTGAACTTCTGTCAAGAAACTGATTTTGAGTGGTGATGTAATGTCTCAAGTTATATTTTCTATCACCCGTTGTCAGTGTGATTTATCAGTGATTTCTGAAATTCTAATTGTGCTCTAATTTACTTGTGTATATAGATTTGTAATATGGTAAGATTCTTCTAACAGTGTAGAATGTGGGATTTTCACTAATTCATGATGTTAATGTCTTTGTCTGCTGTTTTCCTTACATTGCTTTTGTGCCAAAATCACACTATCAATTTAGAAACAGGAACTTTGCGATGAACTTTCTAAGTATTGTTTCAGGAGGATATGAAGAAAAATACTATGATGATGGTGGAGCAAAGCAGAGTTCTAAACACTCCTGGAGCTGAGAAGAAGACCAAGAGGGAGTTGTTTGATGCCCTTCGGCAGGAATTGGAGTAAGCACTCATCTTCGTTTAATCGATTTGTTAATGCATTATGCCGTTATTATCACATTGAGCAACTCAATAAAAACTAGGAGAACATTGATTGGTTTTTATTTGAATTTTAATAGTTAACTTGCGCAACTCTGAAATCTATATGTGTGTATATTTTTTTGTATTAATAGCAAATTGTTTTGGGAGAAAGAGAATTTGCATTAGTCTGACTATTTTTAGTTCACAGTAACATATGCTACCTGTTCTGAAAGTAGTGATTATCTACCTTCCCATGATAATAGTAGGGATACTGGGATAGAGAGACTCTAGTTTTCTGCTGTACCTATTTTGTTGTTGGGCTGTTGGCATACTGTGTGGCCTGCATTTGGTTGACACAGATTTGAACTGATGCACCTCAGAAGATATATGTGTTTGTTACTGTGTAGAATGTAATTATCCAGTACTTGCAGTTATTTTTTTGTTCAACATCACCTGAAGCAGAAGGTGTTTGTAAAAAAAAAAAAGGTGAAAACTAGAGCATTCTTAACAGATTTATGCGAATGCAGAAATCCAGTCCTTGAGAAAGCTTCAAGGGAAGTCTGGGATCTGATACTTGAGAATGGTGGACTGGGGAAAGAGATTACTGACACTATTGAGAGTGTCTTCTGCCGCCTCAGCGGGATCGACATGATGCCACCTCCACCTTCAACATCTATTCCTTCTCACCAAGAGAGAGAAAGAAACATGGCTGCAGATGGGGGTGAGAAGAGCAAGGAGATTGATACCCCGGAAAAACCATCGTCATCATCAAGGAAGAGACCCTATTCTGATACCACTACAAAAGGGGCAGGTGCTGTACCAAATGGCGGTGCTACAAGCCAGCATGATGGGTCTGAGGATAGCAGCCAGAAGTGATGCTTGTCGATGCTGCAGAATTTTTTCCTTCCAACAGGCTGAATAAGCCATTGTGTTTTTATGGTTTAATTACAAAAATCCTTCATATCCGTGTAGTTCACAATGTACAATAGAGTAAAATGTGTTTATGATTGCTGTTTATGCTAGCCAGATTCTATGTGACTTGACTGCTATAGGATGTTTCACCTTTCAGTATAGCTAACTTCGTTCTGAATGTATAAAAAGTTAAGTTAATATTTCAGTTAGAATAGACTAGTTTCCTGTAGTGCTGGATGCTACTAAAAACTGTGAATGGTAATCTTGGTTTCTTGAAACTATCTCATTGCATGGTGAGGAACTAACTAAACTCCAGGGGCGTTCAGGACTTCAGGTGGGTAGTAAATAGAAAAACCGATATTCTTCTGAAATTTTCTGTTTTTTTTAATCGCTGCTGTCTGAGAACATAAATGCCAGCAACTAAACACAACATGATACATACACTTCAGTATCAAGTGTTGAACAAGAGTCAAGAATATGGCTGAAAAAACCACAATGCTTCTCACAAGGTGGACAATGATAGCAATGGCTCCCTCTACTAATACATTTCTCACAGGCTACATCTACCCAGAATAACATCATTGAAAATTATAGTTTATCTAAGATCCCTAGTACTTTTACAGCCTTGTTAGACCTTGATCAATGGCTTCCCTAGCCATGGTCACAACTTCCTGGAGCTTCAAACTCTAGATTTTCCATCATGAGCTCATCATGGGTATGTTAGAACTTTGAAGGAGAGGAGATCGATCGATCAATTCTTCCTGCATTACGCGTCGATGAAATGGATATCAAAGGTGTTGGGGTGGATCTGCCAAACATTCAGGGAAGCATACTCCTCCAAGCATTCCTTCAGTTGAGCCTCGCTGTAACCCTGTTTTGTTACATCCATACAGGCAGAAGAAGATTGCTTTTGTTAGAATTTAGGCCACATTGAGCTTTAGCAATGGCACCAGCTGATTGATGTATGAAATGCAGGAACTGTACCTTTCTGGAGATCAAGTTAAGGGCATGAGCATATCTGACATCCATGCTGTTAGTTCTTGCAGCTTCATCTCTCAGAATGGAATATATGTCAGAAATCGCGTCCAATCCAGACCGCTGGCGGTCATCTGAGTATAGGGAGTACTTTGACATCTGCATCAGCCGAAGCGCTTCATCGACATCGCTCTGAGCGACGGTTTCTGAGAATCTAAGCCTTGCCAAGGCCTGAAAGAAACAGGTACCATTGTGTTTTGTGAGAAGAGATTCATATGCTTGCAGTTAACAAAAGACAAAGTATGAAGTTTGCTTACAATAGAAATCCGGAGTATGCTCAAAAGTGTCCTGATAGTTGTGTAGGAGTGTGGTGCATTTGATTTTGCTTCCTCTTGGCGGATGCTCGAATAGGCAGTTGCAATGTATTCCTCAAGCTCTCGAGGAACAGAAGGAACAACTCTTCTCGCAGTAGATATGTATGCCCTGTGATCAGATCAAGATTGTTAACACAAACTCCTAAAATATTCTAGTTCAGCCTATTTACAAGATTGCTTTCAAGGAAAAACTTTTAGCTATTTGTAAATTGTAATGCACATTTTTTTACATAAAATCAGGACAAAGTAACAAGACCCTAGGGAAAGTGTACTTGCCTAAGAACTGGTGGTTCAAGTGGTGTGAACCCCAGAGCTGGTGATTCAAGGTTTTGATGTACATGAACAACATGTCTTGCCATTTCAAGATCGGTTTCCATGTCCGCGCGATCCAGGATCAACCAAAGGAGGTCAAAACGAGACAGAAGTGCTGGAGGTAGATTGATGTTTTCAGCTGGGGTCCTCCTCATATCATACCTTCCCCTGAATGGTTAAAAGCAATTGCAATTGTTACAACTCTGGTATCTTTCTTGTTATCCTCTAGAGTCTAGCAAGAAGAAAAATGTTGAGATCAAATCTTACCATGCTGGATTTGCAGCAGCCAAAACTGCCGTTCTTGCATTGAGGGAGGTGGTGATTCCAGCCTTCGCAATACTAACAGTCTGCTGCTCCATCACCTCATGGATTGCTGTCCTGTCTGACTCTTCCATCTTGTCAAACTCATCTATTGCACAAATACCCATATCTGCCAGTACCTGAAACCCAAGAATTCGCAATAGAGATTAACCATTGAGGATTACAGGCTGTGCCATGCTCTCAAATAAAATGCTTCAGTTCGCATGAGTGAAACAAAATATTTGCATCAGTGAAACTTAAGTATGAAAAATCTTAATTGATGTCAAAGCAACTTTCATTGACATATTCTCTTAACATCCCAAGTCAGGACTTGAACATAGTTTCATATAAACACTTGATACAACCAAACTTTTGTACAGTTAACCAGCAGCAAAAAGAAGTAAAGTGTGATCTGAATCGTACCAGTGCTCCTCCCTCAAGAACAAACTCATTTGTAACTGGATCTTTCTGGACGGCAGCAGTAAGACCAACACCACTGCTTCCACGCCCTGTGGTATACACTCCTCTTGGAGCAACATTGATGATATGCTTCAGAAGTTGACTCTTTGCAACACCAGGATCTCCCATCAGGCATATGTGCAAGTCTCCTCTTATCTGCACATTAAGAGGGTTAACATTAAGTATACAAGCAGTTGGAGATATTAAAGTTTTATTACTGAATACAAGTGATCACAAGTCCTGGCAACACAACATGCATACCTTCATGCCATCTGTAAGCTTCCGATGAGGTGCGCCAACAAGTAGCAACAGCAGTGCTTTCTTGACATCTTCATGTCCAAATATTTCAGGTGCCAAAGACCTTGCCAACTTATTGTAGATATCACCATCCTCAGCCAAACGGTCAATTTGTTCTTGTTCATCACCTTTAAGTTCATATCTGCAATGATTTTTTGCAACAAATTTGTAATGTCAAATGGCGCTGAGAGACAAGCTGAATAGACTGGATGGCTAGGCTGAGATGGTTTACTCTTCATATTTTTTCTTGAAATGGGTGATAGACATTGATTCCAAGTAGGTATCAGCAACCAATCCTGCACGCATGGCTCGGAATCCATAGTAAGGCATGGGGAGGAAAATGCCTGACATCTCAACCACATCTCCAGGTGCAACCTGGTAATAACAGCATTTAGTACTTGGAGCCATTAATGAATATTTCCTGCTTATGTGGCAGCATTAAGATAATGGATATTTAGTAAATGAAAACCAGAAATCTTATAGCAGCCTCTTCTCAAATTCAGAGGTGGATCCTATGGAAAAACATCAATTTTGTGGTCCCACTCACAAAGCAACACAGAGAACAAAAGCAAAGGGAAAGTTGCAAGTTGATGTACCTTTCTAGTCAGCTCTCCTCTAAGATGAACAGTCAGAGAACGTGGGATGTGACCCTTTGGTACATGTTCTGCTAACTCTTGGAGTTTCACCTACAAGAAAGTGTTGCAGTTCTACGATTGAGTACAATTTGGAATATGCCTAAGTAAGAATAGTTTTGCCTGTTGAAGGTAAACTTTCACAGATTGTGGAGAAGGGTTATTACCTCTTGAAATTTCAGAAATTTTGATGCTCGCAGTTGAAGGATTAGATTCCCTTTGGCTTTGTTCAGCTTGCACCTTTGAGATGGGCATTCAAAGAGAGGCATAAATACTCTAGCAGTCACTTCCTGTCAAATTCAGAACAATACAATGTTAATAGTCATTCTAGAATTTTTCTTCCAGAAGGCACATATAAATATATCTCAGCAAGTGAAAACCACTAGCTCCACAGCTCAATTAAATTTAGCACAAAGTGAAAAATAGCATCCGATGAATTAGACGTTAAACTAGTCTAGGAATATAGGCTAAAAGTTAAGGACAATATGCCTGACACATGGAGTAGAGTATCCAATGAATTATAGGCTAAAGTGGTCTAGGATTATAGGCTAAAGATTAACACATGGAGTGGAGTGGAAAATCATTAAAGCGCTAATCCTTGAGGGGGGCAAATAATCGATACAGTCAACACATAGTCATCACTTCATCAAAACTACTTATGGAAAAAGGAACCTGGAAGAGATGAATACCTGGTATATCTCAAAACCACATTCTTCACATGTATAAACAGCAACTTGCATCAAGGGCTTCACATCCGAGCAGCGAGTCACGATTCCAGATATTTTGACAAGCTGCCCGATGTTGGATGCCTTCACTTGCCTAATGGTGAGTGGAGTCACCTTTGAGAAAGCCTTGATGTACACCTCACTGCAATGTCAAAACCACTTGGTATTCAGATAAAAGCTCAACACAAAACCAACAAAATCATAGTACAAAAACAAGCAATGATTTTTTAAGGACAAAAATAATAAGCAATGCATGAGCACAGACAATTTTAGCTTTCAATATAAGATGGGCAAACGTTCCGGTGGCATTCAAGAATCTGTCACATTACATTATCACATAATCCATGGAAGCACAAATAATTGCAGAACATGCACCAACTGTTGTTAACATACCAAACTGTGCTCAATAGCATCTTTTAGGTAGTGTTCACTGTTCAGTTCCTAGGTCAAGGTGGGACATGGCAATCCTAGGACCATCTAAATTATGTAATCTCACCAACCAAGACCATCTAAAAATCTGTTTGCACAACTTCGTAACTCTCGCGACACTATTTTCCTTCTACAAGTGGGGCGGGCACAGTTTTTTTTTTTTTGCCTGCTTATCATAATTCTACTTCATTTTTTTCTTCCAAATTTTTGTGCTAGCAAGTACGAAATGAACTATTAAGCGGGTTCTTATACGGGTAGTAGGATTGCCCGCTTGCATCCCTAATCACAGCTACTACTATTCATTCTCCAAAAAGGGAAATCACATTTTCATGAGAAATTCAGAGGCAGCACACTCACAAGAACCGCCTGATCTCCGGCGGCATCCTCTGCAGGGGGTCAGTGCCGTCTGCGCCGCCATCGGCTCCCTCGTCGACGCGCTGCGTCATCAAGATGTCCCTGTCCTCGTCGACGGCGTACGCCTCGGTGGACTCCGGCATGAGCTCGTCGATGGCGTCCGCGAATATGCCGATGTAGCGCTTCGTGTTCTCCGTGACCCTCTGCAAGAACTCGTCATCCGCATCCTTGTACTACACAAACACACAAGAAAAAAAAAATTCCACGCCCCAAAAACAATATCAGACTTTTTGCATCTCAAAATAATTGTAGATCTGGAGGAGATGGAGGATTCAGAGATTCCGTACGTGGAACAGGTCGTCCAGCTCGATC